AAAAAAACAACAGGAAAAGAGGACTTTTTCAGTGACCGCCTATCCAAAAAAGGTGGGTTTCCCCACACAAATATAGAAATAAATGATCTACATACAAATCTAGGCTCTCTCTTCTATAATCGAAGACTGACCACCTTTATTGTGTGAACCTGTTTGAAAAAAAAAAAAAAAAAAAAAAAAAAAAAAAAAAAGTAGATATTTATATATGTATAGAGAGCCAGGATTAACATATTAAAACTTATACACTGTTGATACTATCAATGAGGGGCTTTTTCAAATGAAAAGTAGTTCTGTTTGGTTGAAGAAAAATTTGAGCTGAGAGAATGTGATAGGCAGCTTCACCACGATATGTGCTCTTCGAGTGAGGCGGTTATTAGCCAACTCAAAATACATAGATCCTTCATTCTTACAAGTGACTTCCTATAGCATCAACGAAGTTCAAATCAGCATGAGTGAAGAGATCAAAAGTCTCATTCTCTGGTAGCTGAAGCCTCTTGATTATACTTCGGTATACAGAAAAGCTTGTATTTGATTGATTCAAGTTGTATATGAGCGAAGCAGCCACCAGCAATTCTCAACCAGCACAATTAGATGGTCTACATATCAGAATCTTCCTAATAAAAAATACCCATACAAGTTGCCTGGTCTTGGCAACCTTACAAATAGGAGCAATAGGTTCAACGAAATGGTCAAAAGGGTCAGTGATTACCATGTAAGCTAAACCAATAATGCATCGTTAAATGTGTTATCTTCGATAGTTATGCACTGGAAATATAGTTAATATTTATAACACTATTGACGTCCAAATAACAAATGGCACCAAAGAGAGGGCAGTCAAGGATATATACAGACATATGTAAGTGGTAACTGTAAGAAACAGAGGTTATAACAGTATTCAACACCATGCCTTCAAAGACCATATGCTCGCAGATGAATATTTTTTAAAGTGTTCTGAAATGTTGACAATTACAAAATACTGGAGCCCAATACTTGAATCCTACTTTGGTGAAAAAATACATGTATTTGTACAGTGATAAAATATATAAATTATTACATTTATTCGTACATACTGATCACAATTTTATTAAGCAGGAGTGATGCCCTTTCTATCGACAGCAAACGTTTGAACCTGGATTACAAGCTTGATTTACGCATGGTTGTAAATACTGAAAGAGGTTCCATTGAAGCTGTCACGAGTGAATGTGTTAGGCAAACACTTGGTGTACTCGAAAATGCACTCAAAAATAAGCTAGTGCTATTGGCGCTTCCTTGGGGCGCTAACTGTGACATTGCTTTGCAACTTCACACTACCAAAGCCTTTGTCTAACTTAAGGCTGTCCAGTTCACTCTCTCTGATATAAAATTTGAATTTATCATAATTACACGTGATTGATCTTGGTTCTTTGCTGATAGAACTGACAACTTAAAATTAGAATAAAAAAATAACAACATTTCTTTTTCATCTCTTTCTCCTTGAAAAGGAACAATCCAAGATGGTGGCTTCATAAACTCATGTTTAGTTTGACGCTACATATTGAAAAGCTTCGTTGGGCGACATCATAGGTAGCGGATAAAGGCATTAATTTATTTCTGAATGCATTTTTGAGTGCACCAAGTGTTTGCTATGTGCTAACACCAAAACTACTACTGGAGGAAAATTGTATCGCGGCAAGTTTAAATCAGTATTAACATCCAAGTGTCATTTAAATTCGTTGCTCGAAACACTCATTTGTTTACCTCACAGTCAAGTCAGCAATGTACATATACCCATATTACAAGTAATGGGCCAAAATATATCTTTGTACGTCTTATCATTGATCGACAAGCAAATTTATTCTGTACAAAATGTAATGGATGCTGAATATCCTAGAAATATTAAAAAAGTTCGAGATAGAGGTATTGATAAAACTCTTAATCTATTTGGCCATGTTGATGTAAGCGAGACAAAAGACAAAAGAAACTGTAAGACCTACGATTTCTGATATGTTTCTGTAGTATATAATAGAGAGAATTGAAGAAGACATAAAAAACTATTCGCGCGATACAAGCAACAAGATGAAGAAAATAACAGAAAGAGGAAGCCATAATCGTAAATTTAAAGCTGAAGCGTGGACTTCTGAGGTGGAATGGGAACCTCACCTCTCTAAAGAATAATAGGAGCTTTCAGCTATATTTCTGAAAGTATTAAAACCTCTTTCTACACCTTATTCATAACCATATAAATACTTTTTTTTTTTTTTCTGTTGTTAATAAATATTTCGTTTCTTATTGGTATACATCTAAAAAACATCGCTCCATATAAGTCCTGTTAAGAGAAGAGCGACTTATGAATTCTTTTACAAAAGTATTGACAGTTCTTACAGTATTTTTTCGTTGCCACTTTCTGGTTTGATTTCTTTTTCTTCTTTGTCCCTCCTCATCCCATTTTCTCTTACCCATTCGCAGTCTTTTTTTCCATATCTTTTTTATAATATTACAATTGTAGAGCAACCTTCAGTAATAAAGTTTAATTATTATACTTTTAGAAAATGAGGTGGAAAACGCAATACAGACAATAAATAACTGTTCATGAAAGTTCGAATCCCACGGAACCGCTCCCAGTAGCTTGCTCTTGAGGGTTCTAATGCTGCTTTCTACGGTTCTCGATTGTTGGTCGTTGGAGATAAACAGATTATGAATAATTGCGGTACCCGCCCAGGCTGAAATAAGCATGAACTCTAACACCACCAAGCCTTAGCCTACCAATTATAATGATTAGTTTATCTCCCTCTACCCATCCCCATTAGACTGCGTGCTTTCCCCCTCCACCACATTATACACCTCACTTCGTTGAACTTGCCCGGACAATTTCAGTATAAAAATACTACATGTCCACTTGGGTCTAATAAAAGATTGTTTAACTGTATATGGGCGCTTATGGAGCAATATACTTATTATGTACAGCGAATATGTAAGCGCTATTTGTCTGAGTAATCTATTTACCAATGTTTGGAACAGTCGTTTGATTAAGGGCCTAAGCTTGTGCGATCAGCTTTTCCTTTTGAACCTTAGTAAAGATATTATAGTAAGTTGGAGATAGCGCATACAGAAGTAACCACTAATAAAGGATTCCTAAAAAGAATGTTGTTCTGAATGTGTAAGTGGCCTTTTAAACATTTCGAAAGAACTCTTTTCGACACAGTTAAGGGAGTTGTCGTATTTCTACTCTTATATCGATGAAGATTACACCCTTTGACGTAATATCGACAGCAATGTAGAAGAGCAAGAGCTCATAAAAAATTTTATTGACCCTATCCTCAGTCCTATATTACATTGACTTGGGTGGGGCAATCGGATAAACGGACGCATCAAGCTAAAATACACTGTTTGACTGTAAACGGTGGCTTCTATATTGCAAAATAGTTGCAATAATGGTGAGCGAATTAAATAAAAGAGACATGTAACCTAAATCAAGGTTACTCTTTTTTGTAAAAGGAAAAACTTATTCAAGCACCGCCAGAGGGTGTATACAAACAAAACAAGTAATATGGGCAAAGCATGAGTTTTTGAATAAAGAAAGAGGGCAAGAGCAAAGTAAGGTTGTAGCAAATCAATCAAAGCTACTGATCGCGCAACTTGTTCAATTCACCAAATTGAGAGCGTTATTAGCGAATGTTGAAGAAGTCGGTTGCCATAGAAACATGAATTTTCATTTTTTGGATATTTGCTATTTGTCGGCGTACGCGACAGCTACTCCGACTGAAGCGTGGCGGACAAAAGCATCGCCACGAAGTTTGGTTTTTAGCTTCTTACTCTATACGGAATTCAAATTGTGTTAATTAATAACAAAAAAAAGAGGGCGCAGCTCTAAGCTTTTTATAGCAACAAGAGACTGCGCGATATACAAAGAACGGATGCTGCGGTGATAGTGCCTAATCATTTAAATATCAGTAGTTTTTCTTGTTTTCTTTCTCTTTTTTTAAGCAACATTTCTTTTTTTTTTTTTTTTTCATGCCTTTACAGCTCACAAAAGAAAACACCGAAATCAATCGAAAGCTCTATACTTATTTTGATAAGCTATTATGTTTGTTGGAAAAGGTGTCTGATGAAGCATTTTGGCAAAATTTGGTTGGTGAACGAGCATTGAACCTTTTGAAGCGATACTTTGGTAGCGATGTTGTCTTTTTAGGTTTTGTCGTTTATCTTGCTCGTAAGTACTAAAGAAAAAGAGGTATGAGCGGGGTTACTTAGGGGCATTCTTTTCTACTTTAGCCATTGTTGGATATCAGTTCAGCAGTTTGTTCAACTGGGCGCTAGCAAAAGTATTAGAAAAGATGTATGTGTCGATTCAGATTGGAAAGAATGAAACAGGATATGATGCCATTCAACAATTTGTTGCATCCAAGACAAGCCAAATTCACGACTTGCGTAACGTAGAAGCCCGATGCATTGATGATGAAGACGCCAATGATATGCAAGGACCTAACCCTCCTCCCAAATTGACACTCTACCCTTGTAAGTATTGTTTATGAGATGTGTGCAATATGGAACTTGATACTGAATGATATGCTGTAGTGGATGAAGTTAAACACGAAATTATATATAAGGGATACAAACTTTGGGTGACAAAGAAAAAAAACGGTGGCACTCAAGGACAGAACGAGCACTACTATTCAAACAACATCCGGGATCTTTTGGGTGCCATGAACTCTAACCCTTGCATCGAAATCAGCATGCGTGGGCAAGATCTGAAGTTGCTTCAATCTTTGATTCAAGAATGGATTGATATGCACTATGAAAGACAAAACGGAAAGGTAACTTGAGAGAGAAAAAGAGCACAAAGAGATGATTGTTGATGAAATCCTTTAGTTGACCATTTATAAATGCGTACATACAAGATACGAAGGATTCGAATGGCAGTCTGTGGGATCTAAGGAACTTCGATCTTTTGAATCTGTCATCTTGAAGGCCGGCCAAAAGGAACGTATTCTCAAAGACATTCAAACATTTCGTCGACGTGAACGCTGGTACACCAATCGCGGTATTCCTTATCGTCGTGGTTATCTTCTCTATGGCCCTCCTGGTACAGGAAAAACATCCCTGGTTCAATCGGTTGCTAGTAAAGTAAACATGAATGTGGCTATTGTCAGTCTTTCGGGATCTATGGATGATGAAAAGTTTAATGTCTTGATGCAAGAAATCCCCCGAAACAGTATATTGATTATGGAAGATATTGATCACTGCGTCATCAAGGACCCCTCTTCTGATGAGAGCAATGTCAGCTCAAAGATTACTATGAGCAGTTTACTTAATGCCCTCGATGGTGTCGTTGCTCAAGAAGGATCCATGGTGTTTATGACATGTAATGATATATCGCGTATTCAACCTGCCTTGTTACGTCCTGGCCGAATTGATATGAAGATGGAATTGGGATATGCGGATAAAGAACAAATTCGTAAAATGTTTTGGCGATTCTTGTATGATGAGGATGAGGATAATACCCGCATTTTGGATGATGAGACAGAAAAGAAAAAAGGACCTCCCGAAAAACTTGTAGCTTTAGCAGATGCCTTTACAGATATGATTCCTGACCTGACTGTAACTCCAGCTGAGCTCCAGAACTTTTTCATTATGAATGTGATGGATAAAGAAGAAGATGAAAGAGAACAACAAGATTATAGCTATTTATTAGACGCAGTTCCAGCATTTTTAGAAACCGTTAAAAAGGATAGACAACAAGCCCTTGAATATAAAGAAAGTAGAAATGTAGATAGTAAAAAGGAAAAGATACCCGAAAAAGATAATAATGTCGAAAATGAAAAATGAACATATTAAAAAATAAAAAAGCTCATTCTGTACATAACTAAAAAAGGCTCTGTTTTGTCTCTATTTATATGTATTTGTTTTTGTGTGTGTGTGTGTCTGTGGTTTTGTTTTATTTATGTACCATCTTATTTTATAAATAAATTTAATCTATATTGTAGAAGATGAAGATATAGAAAGGGAAGAATTTGAATGATTTGATTTAATAGCCGCCATAGCTGCTGCTGCAACAATAGCTGCCGCTGCTGCACAACTATGTGTTGAATCACGCTGATCTTTTGGTGATATAAAGCTATATTGTGGAGAAGAGCACAGAGCGGTGTCCATGATATCATGTTCTTGTTTAGGAAAATAAAATCTTGTTGTAGTATCAAATGATGAGATGTTATTATTGTTATTAGCGGCAATAAATGAGGAAGCCACTACGGCTGCTGCTGCGGCAGTAGCAGAATGATGGCTCCAGCTGTTATTATAAATAGATGGTGGTGTTTTTGGTAAATTACTACTACTACTATTGTTGCTGCTACTGTTGCTACTGGCGCTACTCGTATTATCTTGCGTGCTTCCATTCCTTCTTGAGATACAGTAAGGGCAGTGACGGACGAACCGAGCGATAAGTTCTTTTGGAATCCAGGAATATTGTCTACGAACCTAAGATATGAAAGGGATGTTTGAATATACAAGCACAGTAAAACATTCTTCTCCACATATTTTTACCAACGCCGATGTCTTGTCCCTCCCACCATGGTGTGCCTCTTTGTGAGCTCTAACCAAAATGCTGTAAATATTTTCTCGTGTGGCTACCGGTTTGTTATCATGGCAGACAATATCATGGTTGGTTAGTCGAAACATCTTTTTGACCCAAAATCGAAATTGAGCTGTAGAAATGGATGTATTTCTTGGGTCTTTAAGGACTTGCAATATCATCGAATAACGATGACTATCGACCAGTGCTTTGTCTCTCTTTTTCGTTGACAAGTTTTGCAAGTAGTCGTTGATAATAGCATCAAACTGTGCAAAAGAAGGAAATTGCTGGTAGTTGTTGTCATAGTAGGCTAGTGGCGCTGCTGTGTTAGTAGTTGATGTCGCTGCCGCTGCCGCTGCCGCTGCTGCTACTGCAATAGAGGCAGCATTGGGTATAGGACTCTTGGTGTATTGTTCCATCACATCTATCAATGATTCCATATATATAAAGATATAATTACACTTTCAAACAAAAAATGGGAAAAGAAAAACGAAACAAAAGGGGATAAGGAAAAAAGGCGGTAAACTAGGGAAGCATTTCATAAAATCTTAATATAACCATAATCGTACAGCATTTTACTGGGCTCTTCCATTACATTTGCGCGTACTTTGAAATTTGTTTTTGCCTATTCTGATATTTTCCTTACAGTATGTGGTCATTGATGATAAGATACTAGGTAAAGGCCTTTTTTCCACTGATGAAGAGGTCATCAGGTAATATAGATAGTTATTACTATAGAAACAGTAACTGAAATCTTGAATAAAAAAATGAACATAGCAACCACAATGATGAGAACGAACGAGACACACAGTTGTTTTACTGCTGGTTACATTACTGGGGAGCATATCTTTTTCTTTCGGCTTCAGAAACCAGTGAAAGTTCAACATAAATATGTTCAGCTCCTGATTCTATAAGTATATCTAAAACTATGCTATGATCATATGGAAGCATAGCGACAACAATCTTTCAATGAATTTCTCGGAGCATAGCAACAAAGTGTTTTCCAGACTAATGAATTTACTAAACATATAGATCGATGGCAATTCATCTTTACAATTCCTGTAAGGGCATAAATATTGTTAAATTCCAATGACGTAAATAGAAATACTATGGATACGTTCCTTTTGCTGTAACCAAGGTGACACTTACAACAAATATTTTGTATGTAATCATGAGTTCAAGATCATGGCTGTCAGATCCAGGAACTTTAGCATCATCATGAGCCAAGTCATGCTCTTTTCTTAATTGTTTGATCTTTATCATGGCTTCATCTGATCTACTATTGTTATTTTCGCCACTGGAATTATTGGAAAAGAGATAGGGATCAACCATAAATGATGACAGAAATGGACTAAAATACATTGGGTTTAAAGGGTTAATTTATGCAAAGTATAGCCCGTGTCTTATTAACCATTGTATTTACCATCTTTCTATACTTTGAGTAGTACAACTTTTAAATTTAGCCAAAACCAAGAATTCAATCTTCGCACCAGAGCGAGAAATTTCTTTAAGAAATCTTTAAAAAGGGGACTTCTTCCTTGCATTCCTTTTTAATATGATCGAATGCAGAATGTATCAATGTTGATAAGGATGTTGTCAATTATAAGATGTCACAGAGCGTCAAGTTTGGTGCAAGTCTGTATGCACAATTTTGATATTATTCACTAAATGAGATGTACAAGATAGTGCGTTCATCTGTTTCAAGTTATGAGATTTTGTTGTTTTTAGGTTTATGTGTCATCTTACTAGAAACAATCAGATGATTATGCTGTGTATTACAAGATATGGCCATCCACTGCTTTAAATTGTTGTCAATGCTGCTCTATACTGTTCGGCCTTGCTATGCTATGGATGACATGATGCACATCTTTGGATCCTATTCTCAAGTATGCATGATAGGTGAATGCTAGATGCTGGGCTTATAATAAGCTAGTCAAGTTACTCTAGTTAGCTCTGACCACAATACCTTTTCTTGAGATGTGCGCTAAATATAAAATTTTTCCTGAGATCAGCGTCAATCATATAAATCCTTTTTTAGCAAGTGTTGCAGAGCTTGATAAGCTCGCCCCTTAAGTAAACTGAATCTACGTCTGTCTACAGCAACAATCACCGCGACGCCTAGCCTATACTCTAAACTACCCTTCAAGGATGCCTCTTTTATTTTCACTTATCAAAAAAGGGGGGAAAGGGAGTTCATAAAAACGCGCAGGTAGTGTCATAGGGCACACTATGACAGACTGTATATGCATAAAAGAATATTTTATAATGCAATATGCACATCTTTCATGAGTGTTTTCAAAAGCGTTGTCTCTCATGATTCAAGTGTCCTATCTTACATCTATCAAGATCTTTCCTTTGTTTATGTGAACAAAGATTGTAGTTATATGCTACACTTGCATTTTAACACCAATTATCAAGCAAAGTACATAAAATGTCATTTTATGCACTGTTATTGTATTAGTCTACCTCCCCCTTCAAGCTGTGGTTACTTTCTCAATGAATCAAAGGGGATGAGCGGAGAGAAAGCCTCATCACAGAAAGTTCTAAACGAGGAGAAAAGAAAAGGGGAGTGGTAGACAAGCTGATATAGAAAAAAAAATGCTTTCTAGTACACAACACTTCTATTGTTCAACTTGACCAAGTTTCTGTTTTGATAAAGGACAGTCCTACTCGTTCAGTAGTATACGTTGAGGACGAAATACGTACTTAAAGAGTGCATAAGCAAATGCTTACAGTCTACTACACAAAGTGATGCTACTCTTTATTGCTTGGTGATTTTTTTAACCCAGGAAAAGAAGTGAACAGGCGCTGCTTGAAGCTGTGCTGTTGATGACCGTCAAGTTCTGACTGACTCTTCTTTTTACCAACTATTAAATACACATTGGTTATTAGCTTTATTTTTTCTGTTCTTTGACACTTTTACAAACTTACCTTCTTTCACTTTCCTATGCTGCTGTGGTTGTTGGGATGATTGTTGTTCTTGGTTTGATTTTTCAGAAAGTGGCAACAAGCTAGATCTAGTCGGTGATGGTATACATGATTCCGATGGTATATGTTTAATGCTATGTATTGTACTTATGGAGGAGCTAGTTGATGCTGTTTTTACATGAAATTTCTTTTTATTACTTGTACTAGCGGTGCTGATAGTGCTGTTTGTACTTGTTGTTGTCGTGATACTGCTTCCACTTGTATCTGAACTCACATTACTTGTTGCTATTGCTGTCACAGTTGATGTTCTATCCATTTCTTCCAATATTTTCCATCCTTTATCAACAATGTTTGAAAATATGCCTTCCCTTGCGCGAGCCATAGGGTGTGAAAACTTGGGTGATTTGAGTGCAGCATATTCAGCATTGATCACTAGATTAAATGTGTCAATGAAAAAGCTATGCTCTCGTTTTCTTTTTTCCCTTACGTTTAGCCAAGATAAAGTTGGATAAATCTTGTTCATTATCAAATACATCAGGTAATGATGGACCAAAACTGGGGACATCTTCTACAGTAACAACCTCTACCCTCCATACTTTCTTGCTTGCCCATATTTCTTGATGAACCACAATAAATACATGCAAAAATTGTGACTTGATAGCAGTTGGGTTAAACGGTTGATTGCCTTCGACAAAGATGATGCAGACAATATCTAAATGGACATGAGTTTAACGCCTCTTTCTATAAGTTATATAGTTACCGTTGCCAATATGTCTCTTTCGTTGAACTTGTTGTTTATCACCAGGTCGTGAAGGGATTAAAGAAGACACATGATAGGCAAGCACATGCTCATACCAAGTGTTTGTATAAGTATATTCACCAGAATCGCCGCCTTTATTTATAAATAAATTGTAATCAAACTGTGTATCCTATAACTTACCTTTTCTATCCAAACCGGCAGCCCAGCCGTTGTATCCTTTTAATTTGATTTTCTTGCCAATGATATTCAAGAATTCTTCAAAGGCAGGACAGTCATGTTCGTTTGCAAACCACTCTTCCTCTTTTGTTTGTCCTTCTTTAATTAAGAGTACACCAAATTTATATCTCTTGTGCAACTATAAAAATATACATTTAGTAACTTAGCAACAAATATACACACGCAACTTACAGAGTATTCATCTAGTTTGAGTAATTCTTCTTCTAAGCCACTGGATATCATGAGTTCATTAGACATCTTTTTGAAAGAATGAAAGGGTATATTGAAAGTAGTTTCAATAATTGTTTTCCAGGTTGTATCGGGTATATAGTCATTATTCTTGGTATCACCAGTGGATAATAAAGGGGCATTTAATAGGAACGAGTCCACAATCACTTTTCTTTGATCTGGGTTCTATGTTTATATTAATATACACACATATATACACATGTAATAAAAATGATTACTTGTTTGCTTCTATAGATAATACGGTATTGCTTTTTGTCATCGATATGTTCTACAATAGCAGAAATAAGCAGTGGATCTCCCTCTTTATAACCAAAAAAGTGGCAAGTGTTTGCATTGCCCATAAAGTAGTCTCTATACCAATAAGCATCTTTATCCATGTGTTCCACTTGTTCTGAAATTGTCATGGTTTTGGACGAGGGTTGATCTATGGTGATACCATATCTATTTTTTCCTTCTATTCTATATCCTTTACAGGGTATCACCATTGCTCTTTCAGCCACTTTATAATATTGACATATGCACTGATTCATGATTTGCTTCATTGTATTAATCATTTCTTTAACTGTAGCAATCGTATCATCACATCCCACCTCCTCTTGAGCTTGTCTTTCAAGTAACTGAATATTATATTTGACCTCTCTTTTCAGTTTTTCTTGTTGATCCCAATGAACCATTTCTGTCATTTTATAAAGATCAAGTATGATGGATAGCAGCTGTTCTTGTGGGAAATAAATCGCATGGTTGTTGTTTGCTGCCAACAACACCATAGACAATGTACGATCGCATTCATTAATTAATCTTGTATGAAGCGTAGTCAAGGTAGTTGTAACAAGCCCTTTTAGTAGTGGCATTTCTAATAATTCTTTATGCGCCAATTGATGCAGCATAGGTGCTTTATTATCCTACAAAAGAAAAGAAAAAAAAAAGATTAATCATTCCCCCTTTCTATTTCCCCGTGCATTATATTAATGCGCTTATTACTTGGCATGATTTTTCTCTCTGCCGTGATTGTTGTTGTTGTTGCTGTTGTCTCTGTGGCTTCTTTTGTTCATCCCTATAGTATTCAATTATATCCTCTGTATCATCATGTCCTGCATGTTGACGTGACATATTGAATCGATGGCTGATCTGAATGATACTGTTCCTTCTTTTTGACTTTAAGTTACCATTACTGCTATTTGTTGGTTGTTGTTGTTGTTGTTTATATTGCTCACTTTTCCGAAATATTAAAGTCGGTGTGTGTCTTTTTAGACGAGAAGCAAAGGACGTAGAAGTAGAGCTCCTCCTTTCTTCTCGCCCAGTAAATAGTTGTTTGACTGAAGACTTGACTGCACCTGGTAATTTACTTAGTTTACTTGATGTACTGAATACAGAACTGGTCGCTGATAAAGTAGAACAAATAGACTCATCATCTCGTTTGGTGCATCTACAATCTTCAGTAGAACTATTGTCCTGTGAGTGTCTTTTTGAAGTCATGTAGCATAGAACAACTACAAAGTCTAGAACTTTTAAAATAAAGAGAGAGAAAAAAAAAACAAAAAAAAAAACAAAGAGAGAGAAAGAAGGTTACAGTGAAAGTAGACACCCCCAATAAATAGATCACAAAACCCCGATAGCCAAAAAGCAACAACCTTTTTTAACTATTGTGACGATGTCAATGTCTTCTTTTTAAAGTGACACAGGTTAGTAAATCAATATCATTTTAATAAATCAAAACATTTCTTAATAAAGATTGATATTCTAAAGGATCAAAAGGATAATCAAAGCAGCAAACGTATCCTTTTTTGCTTTATTATACAATTATACTCAGGATTGTTCGTATCAATTATCTTTGGGGAGATTTGAAGCTCAAGCTCATCAGCATTATGTTTTTAAGTTTAGATTCTTTTGAGAAAGAACGATCAGAGGAGGAAAGGAGAGGAAAAATAGAATCGACCATAAAAGTTGTAACAGTTGATTCGGTCTTGGAGGCTCTGGCGAGAGGGACGATAGGAGACATAGGAGAGAGTGTGTGGTAACTTCAGAGTCAAATTTTAAACCTGATAGAATAATACAAAGGTGCTTACTGGTGTTTTTGGACGTGGAAGATGCAAAAATTGATTTGGACAAGCGGGTAGGGTAAGTATATTTACTTGGTAACTAAAGACTAATGAACAAAAAATAGCGTACTATTCCTTTTATACTTATAGAGTCGTTAAGGAATATACTGCCGTTATGGACAGCGCATTTAATTGATTGGTTTTGCACTTATTACATATTTGACTCGTTAAATACTTGTCAACATAAATAAATTGGATCCCCATCAGATTGTTTACATTTTCGTTTGATTTCTTCAGTAATACGTCTAGTAGGTGCAGCCCGTTTTCCTTTCATACTTAGCAAAAGAGCCATTTCTGAACGCAATGGTCCGCTTCCGTTGAGAGGAAAAAGGGAGATCAGCAAAATGTAGAGGTACGTGTTTGCCTTTGACTGGGTTTTGGTTTTTAGCGCCAACTGTACTTGATGTGCTATGTTTCTTGTTGTTGTCAAAGAGTCTTTTAACAGCTTATTGAGTTAACGAGATACGGAACATCGTTGACAAAATCAAGGATATGGCTATCCTTACGTCGATAACAGAAATTAAAGAAGGGATATCCCTAGACTCTTGGTGAACTTGAATCAATTCAAGGTTTGCAATCAACCCTTCAAAATAGTTGGATTTTACGCTAATACTTACGTTATGTAGAAGATCTATGTGTCATCGTAAACAAAGTAGCAAGGCAAAACCAAAAAAAAAAAGAGAGAGAAAGAGGCATACAAAGAAGACATTGATATTAACTAAAGAACAAAGCAAAATAGATATTGTAAAGTTGAACAGCAACTTTAGATCTTTAACCAATAAGCCATCTTGTTTTGGTAAAATCTGTCAATAAAGCAAGGACAGAAAAAATTCAACTTGAACTTAGCCTGTACTTGATCTTTATCAAAAGGTTCATTCAACCTGAAGATAGAAACGGTTTGCTTAGGAGTTTTAAAATTAACTCTTTTTAATTTCCTTTCCCCACACAAAAGAAAAAAAAAGGAGAAAAGAAAAAGCTAGTGCGAATACTAATTCTATGATCTATTGTCTTTTTATAACTCAAGATCACGTTACTCTATGTAGCTCTATCTCTTTAGATTATTCTTTAATAATAAATTAGCTTTTTTCAGCTTCAATTTCCTTTACTAAACATACAATATGCGCTGTGGCATACATGCAGCTTATGGATGAAGTCATGTGATTTTAACGAGTGTGAAAAAGAAACTGTTTCTTGCCTCTATTTTTTTTTCTTTTCTTTTTTTCTTTTTATTTTTTAAAGAGAGACAAAGAGGCGTATTATAAAATGATAAAAGGAATAAAAGTTGCAGTAAGTTGATATGAGCCTGTCTTTTCGTTCTTATTAAAACCGTACACACACAAAACACAAAACACTTCAGTTCTCAAGAAATAAATCTGCACAACAACAGCAAGCAAAACAGCAAAAACAAGAAGAGCAAGAACACAAATTAAGCAATGACACCAAAAAGTATAACAATAACAATGCGCCGCCCCCAATAATAACTACCACACCGCCACAACAACAACCAACAACAACAACAAATTCAAAACCTTCTATTCTATCTCGCGCTTCCATACAAAACATCTTACCCGTCTCTTCTTCGTCTACAGCAACTTCACCGGCCTCACCCGTCGTCCATACTCCAGCAACAACTGCTGTATTTGTTGATAAAACATCCCTCAATGTAAATAATTTATTAAATACAAATACAAACTCATCGTAATACTTTCTCTAGAGAGACATACCCAAACAACCAACAAGTGCTATGGCTTGGTTAAAAGGCGCGCCCAAGGATACAATTCCTATTGGAAAGGTGCCTAGAAAACAAAAATCATCAAGGTTTTATGCGAAAGAAAACGTAGAATTAGAAAGATTACCATTATTGAAGGGTAGACTCTTTCTTATTTAACATGTTCTTTATTAATATCTCTTAAAGAAACTTTGCCTACAAAGAGAACAGAGTTGTTCATAAAGAAACTTGCTCAGTGTCAGGTTATATTTGATTTTAATGATCCAGATTCAAATCTAAAAGGAAAAGAAATTAAACGTCAAGCATTACAAGATATGTTGGAATTTGTTGCAACCACCAAGGGCGCTATTACAGATGTCATTTATCCAGAAGTAGTTAAAATGGTACATCTTACTGCATAAATCTAAAATTATATATCCCTTACTCCCCCTCTCTATTTTTTTAGGTCTCTGTCAATTTATTTCGTACCATTCCTCCACCTGCGGTAGACAAAGAAGAAGGATATGATCCTGAGGAAGACGAACCTATATTGGAAGCATCTTGGCCTCATCTTCAACTTGTTTACGAATTCTTTTTAAGATTTGTAGAATCGCCTGATTTTAATGTCCATATCGCCAAAAGATATATTGATCAAAGATTCATCTTACAGGCAAGTGTTATTCACTTCCCTTTTGTATCAAGATGATACTTATTTTTATTAGTTGCTGGAGTTATTTGATAGTGAAGATCCAAGAGAAAGAGATTTCTTAAAGACAACCTTACATAGACTATATGGAAAATTCTTGGGTCTTCGAGCATTCATTCGAAAGTCTATCAATAACCTTTTTTTTCAATTTATTTATGAAACTGAAAGATTTAATGGCATTGCTGAATTGTTGGAAATATTGGGAAGGTAAATGCACACAGTATAAACATATAGAATCAAGAAACTGATGAAAGAATGGATTAGTATTATCAATGGGTTTGCTTTACCTTTAAAGGAAGAGCACAAAACGTTTCTTAGACGTGTTCTTATGCCACTTCATAAACCGCCTTCCCTTGTCATGTACCATGCCCAATTAACTTATTGTGTCGTACAATTCTTAGAAAAGGACCCGTCACTCACAAAAGAGGCAAGTGGATTGGGTGATCTAGGATTAGGTTACTTATATCGTCCTTGATAGGTCGTTGATAATTTATTACGTTACTGGCCCAAGATCAACAGTGCAAAAGAAGTCATGTTTATAAGCACAATAGAGGAAATCTTGGATATATGTGACAATACCGAGTTTCAAAAGATCAAGATCCCAGTCTTTCAAAAGATAGCCCAGTGCGTAGCAAGTACTCATTTTCAGATAGCAGAGCGGGCTCTGTTTCTGTGGAATAACGATTACATCTTGAGTTTAATACATGAAAATGTTAAGGACATATTACCAATCATGTTTGATCCTCTTTATACATACTCTCAAGAACACTGGAATAGAAATATACATTCTATGGTGTATACTGCCTTGAAAAGCTTTATGGATATGGACCCTGAATTGTTCGACCAATGCACATACAATTATAAACAGTAAGTTTTCCTTTGTTTGGATTCTTTGTTCTTTTTAATCACCTTTATATTCTTTAGAAAGAACATTGGCGATAATAACAGTAACACTAATAACGCAGAAGAAAGACAGAAACGCGTTTGGGAAAAGTTAAAATTAGAAGCAGCAAACAATGGCAATAATAATAATAATAATAGTAATAGCAATAATAATAGTAATAGTAATAGTAATAGCAACAATGACATTTCATCCAATTAACCATTTTAATAAAATGCATAAAGAATAAACAATAGAATGGAATATTAATAATGATGCTCTTCTTTCACTAAGCCAAGCCTTGCTGCTTTAAATCTTGACATCTTCTTCGGCACAACCTGCTCTTCTTCTTCTTTCTCTTCTCTTGGCAATGGTAGCTCTTCTTCAAAGACTTCTATCTCAGGCTTTGGTTCAAACGAAAAGCCACCTGTTGCTGCCAATAGCTGTTGTCGCTTTTGATGATATTTAGATGTGATCTAGGAGAGAGAGAAAGTTAGTTGTAAATCACAATAAGCCAATAGAAATACCTCTCGTAGATCCATATCATCTTCCAACTTTTCCATATCTACAGGCGCAGTGTCTCTTTCCATGACAGATCCCTTCATAATCTTGTTGTCCAGTTTATTCTTATTAGCTACAATGATACTACCTTGTTCTTCTTCTTCTTCTTCTTCATCGTCATCATCACTGTGATTTATTTGTCTAGGTATATGTATCATTGTCGTGTCTGTTGTTCTATAATAAGGCTCTCGCTTCTCTCGAGCAGCTTCGATGAGTTCGTTCAAGTCTATTGGGTCAGACGTTCCTTCTTGTCCGTTATCGTCATCGTCCAATGACGGATAACCATCTTCTTGTGTTTGACGTATGACTTTAAAGATATCAGCTGGTGATCGGATCATTTTCGTAGCGTCTTTTTCATTTTTTACAGGTTCTGAGTAGCTGCTAGTTTGTGATATCACAGATGGAGCATCATGATTTTCGTGTTCGATCACTGTGGTATTTGCGCCCCAAGATACCTTTTTGGGTTTCTCTTCCTTTTCTTCACCACGCTCTTGCTGTTTCATTGATTTAAACTTTGACACTTTCTTGGGTTTATCTTTTGACGTCTGCTCTTCTGGTGTTTTTTCTGTTGGCACATTCTTTATCCAAGCTTCTTCCTTTGTCTTTCCTTTACTTTGCTCCTGCTGCTTCATTAATTTGAATTTGCTCATTTTTTTCTTTTCATTCTTTGGTTTTTCTTCTTCATCCTTTAGCTGTTTAGGCGCTATCGCCAAATCACCCTGTGTTGTCTCTGCTACATATTCTTGCATAGGTTGAGTTTTGTTTTCTGGTTTCTTTTCTTCACTCTTTTTATTCTTTGGCTTTGTAATCAACTTGGGTGTACTTCTTTCATACGTATCGTCCTCGACTGTTTCCTGATCATAATAAGTAAAATCATCTTGATCCACAATACCATCTAATGGATATTCTTCATCATTTTCCTCGTTCAATCTGTCAAAAATGCTTTCTGATATCTCCATATCATATCGATCATCATCATTTTCCTCATTCTCCTCTTCCTGATCACTTTCCTCATTCAGTTTCTTTAACCAAGGTTTTCCTTTACTATCTACATGTTCTTCTTCATGTTCTCCCTCCTCTTCCCCTTCCAATTCATCCAACATGTCAAATAGTGCTTTATTTTCATCTGTTGATTTCTCTTTTACACTCTGATTCATCATATCACGAGCTCGTTGAACAGAAGGTGGTAATTCTGTCGATGATACTTTCACTAGAGCTCCTTTTCGCTTTTCTTTCTCTTCTTTCACGTCTTCTGGCCATTCCTCTCTGATTTCCATAATGGGTAACCCTTCTTCATTAAACTATTAGAAAGAGTGTTAAAAAAGGACAGGAATAAACTTGACTTTTATACTTGCTTGATTTTCTGCCAAGATGCCTGATTCCAATATTGAATTGGATTTTGCTTTGAGGCTGTTCAATTGTGCTTCTACTAGATTAAGATTTTCCTGAACATCTATTATATATTGTCGTCAGCGTATATTATTTACAATGAATGTCATTGATGCATATACATTCTCTACGTCGACTCAAGATATCAATCGCTTGTTTGGCTGAACGTTCTGCATAATATTTATCACCCAAAAGAACGAGTATTTCGTTTGTATGTACAAGTTTTCCGGGCATAAACGCCATTTTCCCTAAAGGTATCTATTGAATATAATTTACATTTGCTGCATAAAATTAAAAAAAAAGAACCCTACCATTGCACTTTTTGTTGTATTATCTGGTAATGTCTTCAAGAGTGATTCAAGTGCGTCATAATCTGTTTTATAATTATTCCAACGCTGATATTCTTCTTGTAAGCTTGCAAGTTGTTGAGAGAGTCGATTGTTAAATAAACTTATTTGATCTGTCATTTTGTTTCGTAAAAAAAAAGAAAAAGAATAGAAAATAAGCCACTGCCTTTTTTTTGTATGAATAAATTTTACAGTAAGAAATCATCTTTTTTTCCCTTTCTTTTTCACACCAAAAATGTTACCAAACGGACTAAATATAAAAGCGTAATAATTGCCAAAAAAGAAATAATATTTCCCCTTTTTGATACTGATATGGGTTTCTTTTATTTAGTCAAAAGCCGAATGAAGGTTTAGAGCCAGAAGATTCTGATGATTCTGAGGATAAACCAACAAGACGTAATGGAAGAAGAAAAATCAAGATTGAATACATTGAAGATAAAAACAGAAGGCACATTACTTTTTCGAAACGTAAAGCTGGTATTATGAAAAAGGTATACTCTTTATATTCATACGCGTATTTCTTACTTACTTGTTATATAGGCTTATGAGCTTAGCACCTTGACAGGTACACAGGTGTTATTGCTTGTCGTCTCAGAGACAGGACTCGTCTATACCTTTACTACGACTAAACTTCAACCCATTGTGACAAAACCTGAGGGTAAAAACCTTATTCAAGCCTGTTTAAATACACCTGATCCTGAGGTAAATTTTGAATAAAGAAAGAAGCATGACATAACCTTCTTTTAAATATAGGCGCCAATCACCAACACAGGAGCTATGGATTCAAAATCAGAAGAAAACAACACAAACTACCGTCAAGATAATACGACTCGTGATACAAACGTAAGAACTACATATAATATCTTGTTGCAGTAATATTCACTATCTATTAGCCATTATCACCACAGGTGGGCACAACGGCCAGTCCAAGTCCACAACCAACGATGAGACAGCCACAGCCTGCGATTAGACCACCTGGTCCAAAGTATCCACAATACCAACAACCACCGATGCCCATGCCTGCTGCTTACAATCAAAGGTACCTTGCTACTACCACTACTACCGCTGCTACTACTGCTCCTCCTCCTGCTGGATATCCGGGTAGTATGCCACCATCCGGCTACCCTACCTATGGTCAAAATCCATTTTATCAATCTCAATCATCCGCATATCCTGGTGGTGCCAACAATAACCCTCCTTCTAATTCACCCAATTCTGCAAACTATTGGACTAACCAACAACAACCACAACAACACCATCACCACCAACAGCAGCATCCCCATCAGCCACCACAGCAACATCAGCCACCTACATCTCCAGCTAATGTAAAGACGGACCATCCTTATCAACAACAGCAACAACAACATCAACAAGGCAATAATGATCGCTAAGCCTATCATAAATAAACATTCAGGGCAAAGTCCGTCTCTTTTCTTTTTAAAGTTTGTCTGCATTTTAATTGGACAACTTTCGGAACTTTAAAGAATAAAAAACTTTCTACATACGCCTCAGCCCCCCTCTTTACTCTTGTTTGTGTGTGCGTGAGTGAGTGAATGATAAAGAGATGAGTGACAGCATTGCAAAGACATATGCCTATGTTAATACAAATCGGCCGAAAGAATACTATGATTATGAATCACTTCAAGTAAAATGGGGGTAAAAAAAAAGATGAGTAAATATATAAAGATAGAGATTGATGAGTCATTAGCACACAAGACATGTATGAAATCAAGAAAAAGATCGGCCGAGGAAAATATTCAGAAGTGTTTTTAGGTATCAATGCTTTTAATCAGCAAAACTGCGTTATTAAAGTATTGAAACCTGTAAAGAAGAAAAAGATTAAACGAGAAATAAAGATTTTACAAAACCTGACAGGTGGACCTAATATTATCGGTTTATTGGATATCGTTCGTGACCCTGAAGTAGGATATATATACATATATATAAAGATGAAGACTAAAAGTATCCAATATCTAGTCCAAAGTGCCTGCCTTAATTTTTGAAAGTGTCAATAATACCGATTTTCGCGTCCTGTATCCAACATTCACTGACCTTGATGTGCGTTACTATATGCTTGAACTATTAAAAGCAATCGACTATTGCCATTCTATGGGTATCATGCATCGCGATGTTAAGCCTCATAATGTAATGATTGATCATGAAAAAAGACAGGTAAGGATAAAGAGAATGACGTATGTATATATATATATATATATATATCAATTGAAAACTTATTAGTTACGTTTGATCGATTGGGGATTAGCCGATTTTTATCATCCAGGAGAAAAGTATAATGTTCGAGTGGCTTCACGTTGTTTCAAAGGCCCTGAATTATTAGTGGATTTTTACTATTATGACTACAGCTTGGACTTGTGGAGTTTTGGTTGTATGCTCGCTGGCATGGTAAGCGAGATATAAGACAATCAAAAGTTGGTTGCTCATCCATTACATACTAGATATTTCGCAAGGATCCCTTCTTTAGTGGTAGTGATAATTATGATCAATTGGTCAAGATTGCCAAAGTACTCGGTACAGAGAAATTGCACATGTACCTCAAGAAATACAACTTGACACTGGACCCACGTATAAAGAAAATTATGGGAACGTAAGTTATTCCTCCTTTTTTTATGAATAGGGTACTCATGACCAATTAGATACAAACAAGCTCCTTGGAGTAAATTTATCACTGAAGAAAACAAAAAGTATATCTCAGAGGAGGTACTTGATTTATTAGACAAGTTACTGCAATATGATCATCAGGACAGACCCACTGCCAAAGAAGCCATGGCACATCCTTATTTTGGTAAAGGTTTTTTATTATTATTATTTTGTTTAGCTTGTATTAATACGTATTTATAGATCCCGTTCGAGATCAGCAATAATAATAATGTAGAAAAAGGAAGTCATCATCCTAAACCACGCTTCTTCTTTCTTCTACCTGGGTGTGGAGCGCCTTCTACAATCTTTCTTTCGAGTACAAATGCTCCTTCAGTAGAAACAACGACGCCTAAAGGGGATAATAAATATTTTTTTTTACTCTTTTGTTTCACATTTATCATTACCTTGTATCATGTCTGCCATACAATATCCACCCAGATTGGCTTGCCAAAAGTAAAAGTCAGATATAGCAGACCCGCTTTGAAAAAGAACCTCTAGATCTCGCTGATGTTTCAACGTAAGCGGATGAAAGTCTTGATCCTTGATGACTCCCCACTCAGGATGATAAATCTTGGTTGGGTCTAGCATAGGTGGTGGAGGCGCGGTTGATGGATTAGTCGTGTTCACTGCAGGTCTGGGTAATGCACTGTTATTGCTATTGTTGTTGCTGTTGTTGTTGTTGTTGTTAGATGACACTGCCGGCAGTGGCATATCTAACTGTATACTTGTCGAACTATAGTCCGTCATGGGTTGTGGTGCCCATAAATCGTTATTAAATAACATCGAGGAGGGCTCCTCTTCTTCTCTTGTTCGATCAAATGTCATTGACAAAAAGAAGAAGGAAGAGAGATGATGGAAGCAGCTATTTTAGTTATCTTTGATGTATTTTATATATTCCGGCAATAAAAAGAAAGAGATTGAAAGAAGTAAGAAATGAAAAATAAAAAAGAAAATCGTTTTTATATAAAAAGGAGACCAGCTTAGAAACAAGGGGATGTGAAGAAAGTGATTTTCATTAAAGACAGCCCCTCTCCTTTTTTTATATATTTACTGATACGACAGCCAAGTGTGGAAATGATCTCATATTGTATGATTGATACTTTTGATCATAGCGTGCGTTTCCCTTTTATTTTGAGATGGAAATATTTTATTAATAAATCGATGTCTCTCCGAATATATATGTTGACATAATACGTCTAATGTGCCAAGCATATGCAGGGAGAACCCATTACTGTACACTTGAAACAATCGTAACTCGTGTCCCCCCCCTTTATTGCACACCTTTTTTTATATCTTAATGATATAAACAAGACATAGAGAACGAAGTCGCATAAATTTATAAAACAAGTTTAAAGGAAACTTCTTTCTTTTTTGTTGTTCCAACGTGATAAATGAACCGCAAGCCTGTTGACCCTTGTCTCCTTTTTCGTGTGATTTTTTCTATAAACCCCTTCCCCTTTCTTCCCCCTTTTTTTTGCCTTGAAAAACTCCCATAGAAAGGGTAAGAAAAATTTTTTTTCACGTATTGACTTGGATGGAAATATGGCCCGTGCTTTGCCTTTTTGCCTTGACCCATTAATTCAAGTGAAAATCAGTGATACGTGCTACCCTTCCGTAGCACTTGTCATCTTTACATAAAACACACCGCTTCCGACTTGTTCCCATATCATCAAACCACAACAAACGACAAATACACCTTCATTAACTCTAATTTTAGTCTTTTGGAGATTTTTTAAAAAGCAGAGTTGCTATAGAAACCTTGGTCATATGATGGTTACCGGACTTTAAAATTGTTGTGGCCAAAGCTCTCTTCTCGTTCTCCCTTCCTTAGCTTAAACAAAAACAGTGCAGAAAATGACATTATGCGCCCTACAGATAGAACAGGTGTCACTTGCTCAGATACATTTAGTTTCTAATTACCTGTAAATGACGGCATGTGGCACCCATCTTCGGACATGTTTCGGGGAGGAGCTCTTTGTCTGTGTTGTCTCAGCCGTATCAAAATGTAAAAGTGTCAAAATGGGATCAGAAGCATTTTGTTCCGGAGTGTGATGAAGGACAGGGATGAGGCACCAGGACAAAATCGTTCTTTATTGAATTTCACAAGCAAGAGAAATTCTATGTACGACCTAGAACAACCCCATCGAAACTAACCAAAGAAGTTTACAACGATTTGCGGAAAAAGAAAAAAAATAATAACGGATCAAGGGAACAGTAACTAAAAAAAACGGTGGGGAGGACTTTGATAAACGTACTTTTAGTTTAATTACGTAGTAAATTTTGCCTTGAATTGTTTTTTTTAAAAAAAATACATGACGTTTGTCAGAGAATAGCATGAATAAAGGAGACTCGAATTAGAAAAAGAGAATTATAAATGATTTCAGCTTGAATCATAGGAAGAAGGAAATCTTTTTTGACGTAACGCGGTACTTTAGAAGTGAACAGAGTTATTGTTCATTTATTTCAATTGGGCAACTAGAATCACTCTTGAATTATAAAGAGCATAAAACAATAAAAAGGATAGTGAACAGAAGACAGCACGGTCCATCAGGTACTTACATTTTGAGCGAACAAACGAAATGCTTTTTTCTTTTATTGCTGTTATCGCCGACTTTATCAGAGAGTGAGGGAAAATAAAACGCCAGCGGTTCCGGCCAAGTATTTGTGAAATGGAGCAGACTGAGTTTGGATGACATTCATCGTTTTTGAGCAAACAAAGTGATGCAAAAGCCCAGACCATGTCCCCTTTTTTTTTCACTGCCTGGACATGAGCAATATATATATTAACAATAGCATTACGCTAGATTTACTAATATTATTTATAAAAGCCCTACTTGTAATTCGATCATATTCCCTTTTAAAAGTTGAGGTCGATCCTTTGCAGCCCCCGCCTTGGGAAACGACTACAAGTCTCTTTTTTTTTTTCTCAACTGGTAAAATGGTGTAACAAAACATCAATTCTGAAAGCAAGCTTATTTTAACATATAACGCATCATGTGTTTCATTTTAAATAGACTGATTTTTATCTCCTTTTTTTAGCTGCGCTATCTGTAGCACCCAAAAACTACAGTGGGCGCTATGTTTATTTATCTTGGTGTAACAATGTGATATTCGTGTCAAGACTATCGTTTCCGATTCCGAGAAAGGCAAAGAATATTTTCTTACATATACAAAAGGAAACCACCCCCTAAAAGGACAGGCTGAAGATGAATAAAGCGACAATGATGATTTTGTGTGTATGAATCTCTTTTGTTTCCAAGTGATCCTCTCCTTCTTTCAACATTGTTTCACAAAATACTTGTGGATGACTTTTTTTGCCTAAAAGAATAATTTGTTCTCTGATCCCTATGGAACATAAACCTTAACCTGTCATTTCGGTTGACCTGGAAACGAATTGAAATTGACACGCTATAAATGAATGCAACACAATCCTTAAAAGGAATACACATATTAACAGTTTTTTTTTATTGTGAGGATACTTTTAGGACATAGGAAAAGAATACAACGACTTATATGAATTTATGTATATACAAGGGATTGCTTTTAGGAAGAGGAAAAAATCTATTTTTCTTGCTTTTTGGAAGAGTTGAGTATTAGTGAATGATAATGTCACGGGAAAAATAAAGAGCGAATACAGAAGCGAGTAGGATATGGAGTAAAGATGTTTTCTTTACTTTACTTGAGCAATGGACAGGTGGGTCTTTTATGGCCGTATTTACCACACCAAGAACTAGAAAAAGAATAAGGCGCATATTCTCTTATTTCATTTTTTTGCTTACCATTGACCGCCTTGTAAGTTTAAAGGTTTGATATATTGAGACATAGTAATGATGTGCGGAAGGAAAGAAGAGTTGAAAATAATTCGAGGTTATTTATATATCGCAGCGGAAATCAGATTGGATTTGAGCTTGAGGAACCATAGCGATCCCCTTCGTTTCATTCCTCTTGTACGTGAATACCACATAGATATATATATTTCCTCTCTCTCGTTTGGTCTATGTCTCTGCCTTTGTCTATATCTCATCAATTTCCTTCTGGGTGTACGCAAGTGTCTACTAATATATGGTATGTCTGCGGAAATGTACTGATGTCACTTTAGGTATAAAAATTTCAAGGTTACTTAACTTTAATCCTGTGCTTTTGATTTTCTTTTTTGTATCGATCTTCCGTTACTTTATTTATTGTGGCATTTCATTATTAGTAAAGCCGAATAAATACGCCAAATGTGGTAAATTAGTATGACCTGTGCCATTTGGATAGTTTAGGCACATAATAAATCTTATGACATTGTTGACATATTGTAAACAGTAATGAAGAAATAAGACGCCAAAAAACAGGTTTTTTTCTTTCTATTAAATGAAAACATTCGTATAAATGTCCATTGTTGCTTTTTCTTGCTTTATAAAAAAAAAGAAAGCAAGCAATGTTTAGCAAGCATTAGATTTATTAAACTAACAAATTATAAGTGCACCATAACATGTGCATAGCATAGGGTTGCACTTGCTCTATACTTTGACAGGAAATCGCTGCCAATTCTATGATGATTTAGGAATAGCATCACATATTAACAATTACTTAGCTTTGGCGTTCCCTTGTTTGTTTACTTTGCCCCCCTTCTCATCGTTTGGTGCTATACCATTTAACAAACATAAACAATAGGCATTCTAGCCCTTTATATACTTCATGGAGTAACCCGATATACCCATCATCCGGATCAATAGTCTGTGCTTCTTTGCATGTAATGCTGATTTCATGGATAATATTCTGTCTCTCTCTCTCTATCAATGATATCTAATATGCTTATTACCTTTCTTAATCAGTGTGAGATTGTATGATATGGTCTGATATATAAATATTACACACATATCCTATCCTAACTACACAGACAATCCTTTCTCTCCGCCCATTATTTATCTTCAACCGACGCCCCCAATTAACTGCGGCGTACTTTTTGTTTTTATTTTTTTTTTCTCTCTTTGTAGAACAGGATGCCATTTTTTTTTTTTTTTTTGGTTTAGTTCCTGTGACCCTGTCTGTGGCACATCGTTTTGCTGTAACTTTATTTGATATACAGCAAAGAAAGCCAGGGACCATTTGCACTATTTCTGGAAAGTAAAAGTTTGCATCTGGTGTAAATTGATGTTGCACTAATCGAAGGGTGGATGTCTCGATTTTTTTTTTAAAAAAAGAGTGAACTTTCTATACTTTTACCTTAATTAGAAACAACGTACATCAATTCTCCTTATGCTAACTGTAAAAGCAGCTACAAGTAGAGCTTGATGCTGCCAAGGCTGAAATAAATAAATTAAAACGACACAGCATATCCTTTCTCAATTACCCAACATAATCTTCCACTAGCGCTTGTCTGTTTTTATTATGCTGATGCATTTAAGGATGATACACTTTGATCCTAAAGGGATGTTTCTTGATCAATTGTGCCCAAAATGGACTGTTCTAGTTCACGAGGTAGGGTTTTATCTTTTTTAAATACTTATTGCGCCCGAAGGATGAGCATTTAAAGTTGGCTAAAAAAATTCATCTGTGAATGTTCTAGACAGTAGTAAAACTTTGATAATCGTTATTCTTGTCTTTGGCATATCTTTGCAAGGACTTACTCCATATTATTTAACAAACTGTGCCATACCAGCCATTCTTTCTACTAATAAGATGGTCATTATTGCTTTTAACTTTTAAAAATGCTTTATAAAATAAAGCGAATGAAGCAAGAAAATAATCTAATATAAATCCAAAGTATTTTCAATGACACTAGTGCATGCCTTTAAGAGAGAGAAAAAGACCCTAGAGTGTCAACATGTCGAAAGTCTTTCCCTTTTTGGATTCGTGTCACCGTCGCATGATGGCTGTGGCTTGTGAAGCAAAACCCCCTTTTCTTTAAGCGGCGCGCCGTGCGTGTGTGTAAATGTGTGTTGTATCCACTTTTTTATCTTATAAATGAGCAAGAGAAAATTTAAAGGAAAGCAGAAACAATCAAACACTAGGCCAAGGATAGATTCAAGTGAAGGCAGCTTGATAAGTGATGGTAGTCGATCTTTAATACACGGCTCAATAACAGAAATAACATCATTCATAGATCGCTCTCCTAGTCCTAATGCTATCGAAGAAGACTTTATACCCATTCCAAAAGTGAGCAGACAGCAGCGTAGATACCAAGAGAGACAGGAATTGAAAGAAAAAAGAGAACCAGAGGATGAAAATGATATTGATGTTTACGATACTCAATACGATTACTTATATCCTTGGATGCATTCTGCTGATCCATTCACTAATCAAGATAAAGTCAGCGTGGCTCAGTTGTAAGTGGGAAATATTAATTGTAAATGGTTGCTGATCGTATAATGATAGATATCAGAAAGAAGTAGAACGATTTGTAGACTATATTGCCCCTAAAGAAAATGAGATCGCACTGAGGGAGTTCTTGGTCACTCGGATTAGAAATGCAATCCACAAAAGGTGGCCAGATGCAGGAGTCGACGTGTTTGGAAGCTTTGCTACTGGCGTTTATCTTTTTTCTGGGTAAAAAAAAAAAGAGATTGCTATATAGCAGAACATTATTCTTACAATGTGTAAAAGTGATATAGATATCAGTATTGGATGTTCACCCCCAACACCACGTTTCACTTTACGTGCCGTAGCATCAACACTAAGAGAAGCAAATATATGTGATGATTATACGCTCATAGCGAAAGCCAAGGCAAGCTTGTTTTCTGTTAATAAAGAAAGAAAGGAGACCACTGATGTTTTTTGTTGTAGGTACCTGTATTAAAGTTTGAAGACAAGCTTTCCAATATCAAAGTAGATATTGTTATGAATTCAGACAATGGAGTCAGAAGTGCAAATATTGTGAACAGAATGCTGCATGATTATCCTGCAGCTTGTCCATTAACCTTGCTCGTTAAGCATTTTCTGTCGTTGTATGAACCAAATGAAGTATTCACTGGCGGTCTAGGTGGATATGCTATTGTCTGTATGGTTGTCAGCTTTCTTCAGGTAAATACCATTGTTGACTTGTGAATAACAGTAGTAGTAATATCTGCAACAGAGACATCCAAAAGTAGCTACACGTCAGATAGATCCCATGAGAAACCTTGCACCTCTTTTTTCAGATTTCTTACAGCTGTACGGCTCAAAATTTAATATTGATGATGTTGGCATTGATGTACAAGGAGAAGGAGAGTACTTTAGGAAGGTAAAAGAGAGAGGGAGAAAGAACATGTATAGCATTTTATAGACGTTAACTTTTTAAAAGTATGAGAATTGGAAAACATATACAATTATTGATCCTCAAGATTCAAGCAATGATCTGGGTCTTAAGTCTTTTAAATCCAAAACAGTAGCAAAAAACTTTCATTATGGATATGTGTCAATATATAGAAAAGCATGTAGACTAAATGCAAGATTGAAGCAGCACAACTATAACTATGCCAGTGCATTTAGCAGCTATAGTCTTTACGGTAAATCCTTGCTTGCTGCTTGCATGTACATTCACCCAGAAACAATCCAGCATAGAGAGCATATGCGACGTGTATATGATGATCTAATAACCTTAAGCGAATAAAATAACTTTTTATTATTTCACGTGAAATAAGTGCGCCGTTGGAAAAGAAAGTTTAAAGGACAGATAGTTCTCAGTCCCTCCTAATTAAATTCTGACAGCCTTTTTTTTTATTGTTTCTTCATTTCAGGCCAAATATACAATGTCACCATCAGAGTCCATTACAGAATATGATCTCATCATTGTTGGTGCTGGGATTGTTGGATGCTCAGCAGCTCGAGCATTTGGTTCGGACGGCAGAAAAGTCCTGTTACTTGAACGTGATCTTGCAGAACCAGATAGAATCGTTGGAGAATTACTACAACCCGGAGGAATCAATGCCTTGAAAGAACTTGGCTTACAAGGTACACTTGATGAAATACAACACTGACAGTGAACTGATAGCCAAGTGTTTAGACTGCGTCGAAGGCATTGATGGTATTCCTTGCTATGGTTACGGCGTGATATATAATGGAGAAACAGTCCATATTCCGTATCCTAACGATAAGTCAACAGAAAAGCCTGCTGTTGGCAAGTCTTTTCATCATGGACGATTTATTAATAACCTAAGAAAAGCTGCTAGGGCCACCGAAAAGTAAGTCATTTTATCCAAAAAAAAAAAGTGGTTCCATGTTATTTGTGATACCTATTGATTCTCCCCATTTTTTTTATAAAGTGTGGACATCAAAGAACTTACAGTCAGCACACTGATAAAAGAACATCAGATAGAAGGGGCAGATAGAGTAGTAGGTGTTAGTGCACAAGATAAGTCAGGACAAGAATTCAAGGTAAATTAGGATAAAGGGGAAGAAAAAACATAAAAGGCTGATGTCAGTATACAGTTTTATGCTCCCTTGACAATTGTTTGTGATGGCATATTTTCGAAATTTAGAAAAGAGATCACTGAAAAGACGCCCGATGTTAGATCAAACTTTGTAGGGTAATGGTTGAGCTTGATAACATAGGGAAGCAATCTTTTAAATCATGAAATAGGTTTGTCATGAAAGACTTGGAGTTGCCATTTCCTAACCATGGGCATGTTATTCTTGCAAAGCCTTCTCCTATCCTTATGTATCAAATTAGCACGCATGATACTCGTATATTAGTTGATATTCCCGGCAAGTTACCCTCTGCCTCTAACGGTGATTTGAAAAAATACATGGAGCAAGTGGTCGCCCCAGAGCTGCCTGATAGTATTCGTGTAAGTTGCAATGAATATATACTTAACAGAGCTAGACTGATTATGGTATTTGTGCAATAGCCAAAATTTTTAGAAGCATTGGAGACGGAAAGGCTAAGATCTATGCCAAATGGGTTCTTACCTCCTACTATGAACCAAACTGAAGGAATGATTGTACTGGGCGATGCTATGAATATAAGGCATCCCTTGACTGGCGGAGGCATGACAGTAGCATTTAATGATGTTGCAATACTCAAGAAAATGTTATCACCAGAAAACGTGCCTCATTTGACAGATTCAGAGCTAGTCGTGAAGCAATTGAAAAAGTTCCACTGGAAAAGAAAGAGATACTGTACATCTATTAATGTTCTTGCTATGGCCCTGTATCGCCTTTTTGCGGCAAATGATGGTATTTTCAATGTACTTTATATTTTAGAGTATGCGCTAACAAATTTTTTTTAAAAAAAAAGACTATAACTTGGCTGTGCTGCAGCGTGGTTGTTTTAGCTATTTTCAATTAGGAGGCATATGTATTGAGCAACCTGTTGGTTTACTATCAGGTTTAATTCAGCGCCCTTTGATCCTTGTACATCATTTCTTTGCTGTTGCTTTCCATGCAATTTACATTGAAGCTAAACGTAATGGCTGGTCAAGAGCTCACCACAGCTTTATCATGATCTTTACTGTATTATATGCTGCATGCGTTACCATTTTACCTTACTTGTGGTCCGAAACAAAACGTTAGGCCACTTAATTAATAATTTCATCAAGATGTATCGCTTCTTTTACTCTATTATTTCTAATCTACCCAAATAAATCTCGTTATTAAATGCCATTATACTTTATCTTCAAGAGTGACCATAGACATAGCAGAAAGTATTGTGCATACCAATAAGGCGAATTTGATTCTTTGCTGACCAAAATCAGTTAAAGCCATCTACTAAAATAATCAGAGGAAAAAAAAAATACTATTCACTGATGCCATTCTTGTGGCATAGATACAGCCCTAGCCAAGTTGTAACAGGTCTCAAGAGATGTTTACGTTACATAGCATAGCGACCCAAACATTCTCTCGGATCACACAAACTAATAATAGAAGTCATTAAGCGGTATCACTTTTCTACTGGAATATGCAGAGATCTCATCTGTGTGTCACAGAAAGATAGCATTTCTATCTCTAATTGAGCAAACGCTTGGTTGTTAAAGACCCCGAGTCTTTTCGGCAAGCTATTTAACATGTACAGCAGATTAGGTTTTGTGTGCCGGATTACTTGGTTTTTAACTTTCATGCTTATGATTGTCCATCCAAGCTTTTGTGTCATTTACCCAATTCTTACAAGACAGAAATTGACCTAGTTTTATCGTCTGTGCCTAAATAAATCCTTATACGCGCCTCATATTCAGAAGCAATGGCATGACAACTATCACTATAGCAATTGGCGCTGTACGGACATATCATTCATGGGTAACTGTTTGTATCTCAAAAGTGTGAATTGTACACAGTCCTACTAGGTTTCTGTACTATCTATGCTTCTCATTCACTAAATAAAGTTTGTTGCTCTCTCTTACTAATACATCTTTCCAGGAGTATATCACAGAGTTGAAAAATAAGATAGTGTGAACATTGCGAATGCTGCGGATAATCAAGATGTCCATTTGATATAAGTAGTCGACGAATAAAATCCAACAAATGCATTGCAGATGACAGGCGAGTATATACTACTCTGATAACCACACCGATATCTGATCATAGTATGCTAAAAATATTCACAGACGTGATTCTTAGTCTGTCAGACCATCTTTATACACTTGACCATTGTGGTGGATAATTGTTTTTCTTAGTATGTAAATTGTACTGTAGTCAGATGTTGCTGAAACTACATGTCTTTTTGTATTTTCTCTCCATAACGCGATTAATGCTGTGAAGCTTAATGATCAACTAAATTAAGTTACATCATATGAATTCACGTATAGTTTAGTAGCAGTAGTCGAGAAATTCTTTACATGGAGAGATTTGTTTTATTAAAGCTTAAGCAATACTGAGAGAGAATGTATGATTTGGTTAATTTTTTGTCAACCAATGTAAGGCTTTAATAAAAGTAACTAAAAGCAGCGCATAAGGCTTTTTAATAGTAATCAGGTCATTGGAATGATCATTACTCTGCATACTGAAACGATATCTGTTTCAAAAGGACAGAAAAGATAAAACGCGAGCTTTCAAGCACAGATTAGCTTTCATTGGTCGATCAAGCCAAAAATAAGGAGAAGGACAAAA